CATTACCACGGGGTCAGATCCAAGAAGAGCTATGTCGTCTGCTTACTCGATGTCTGTGAGGGGAGGCCCAGGGAGCACTTCGACCCCTTTGGTATTAGAGGCTGGTTGTGAAGCTTCCATGATCGTATCAATTGCTAAATTGAAGAGGAAATGTGAGAGAGGACAACCCTGTCGGCCACCACTTGATGTGGTGAACTCAGGTGAGAGTTTCCCGGCCGCGGGGGTTGGTGTGCAGCGCCTTAATGAGGGTCAAGAATTTATTTATTTAGCTAGTTCAGCGTCCACCGATGTCCCTCCCTGGTGAATAGCAGGTGAATATCATCTGACTATCAATCAAGACCGTGTCGAAATCAAATTTTCACACGAATGTGCGCGCCACGTTGTGCATCACTGCTGTGCGGAATTCCGACCGCTAGGCTGAGGACACCAAGCTAAGAGAGCATCTTAGGAAAGCGTTTCAAGCTCGATTCATCGGCATCAGCCTTCTAACGAAACTTTTCACTCAGGAGGTCGGCTGTTACAGCTAAACCATTTTCTGACTCCCAGTGGGTAGCCCGGATAGCAGTCTGGGTGAACTAAGAGTTCAGTTCCGATTTGGTTTCAACTTATTGGTTACAGTTGACCGTGAACAACAAGATCCAGCTGGTTCCACTGCACCAATTCCCACCAGTACACAGAAAAGAAACGTGAAGCTCACCCCACCCAATATAATTCAGATAGGCTTGGCAGAGTGAAGGCTTCCCTCGCCTGCTGATCCCCACAGGAACCGCAATCACTGTTGCGATTGGCTGATACGAGATGTCCGTCTTGTGGGGCGCACTCTTTATGGAACTAGAGCGATATCCTCCTGATTGATTGGCTAGAATCAGGTTACGCGTGGTGACCACAGCTGAACGGTTCCGATCAGACAATCCATCAAGCAGATGTATCTTTAGTCGACTCAGAATTCCACACCACTTGGTTCGAAAAAACCGTGGACTGCACCGCGTCACTTTTGGAGTCTAAATCTGACAGTACTTTCGCTAGTGTTGACCTTTTGACCTTTGCGCCAGGGTTACAGTCAGGCATCACGATGAACCACGCCTTCATCCAGACCCTATAACCCCAGAGGCGGCATCCACTTTGCTGGATGGGAAGGAACTATTCTAAGGAAGCTGTGAACTGCATTTGAAAGCCTAACTTTGCTCCAAAACACCAAAAGACGTGGATAGCCGGCCAAGTCGCGCAGTACTTCCCCGACAGGTGAGAAAGTCAACCGTACGATCTATGGAATAGGCGATTCAACCCCAGATTTAGGCAAGTTGACGCCCATAATGCATCGCGAGTTCACGCTAACGCCCTTGTTAGGTATTCGAACTTACTGTTATTGCTATTTATCGCCAGCCTCGTTTGTGTCATGTTCTGAGAGACCCGAATCCCGCTTCATCCGACCAAATGAGACCGACCTCCGCGTCACCCATACTTGTTCGTTGCTTTCATAAGGTGCCTACTAATCGCTGGATTGCCACTACCCTCACTGCAGTTTGCATGTCTACGTTGAGACGAGTGTTTGGAAGCTACGTCGCTGTCACACACCCTCCGGCGTCACTCGTGTGCGACTGCTCTGAAGCACAATTTGGCGTTTGTCGATATCTTCAAAGCCTTCGATTCCGTTTCGAATGACGCGGCCGGCGTCACTCGTGTGCGACTGCTCTGAACCACAATTTGGCGTTTGTCGATATCTTCAGAGCCTTCGATTCGGTTTCGAATGACGCGGTCTTCGAAACTGCCGAAGCCACTGAAGCCGGTAGTTCGGTAAACGGCGCCGTCCAATGAAAATGTTGCAGAATTTTTCCCCAGTTTCTAGTTCACTATCGACTGGGCGATCCGCTGACTTCAGCGTTGTTCATTCTGGCGATAGATTAGGTTACTGAATTTTCGATTTGGGATGCCAAATCCATGTCACCTTAGTGGATGGTTCGCCTTCACTGATGACTGAGAGGGTCAGGTTCGTCTTACAGGGAAGCTTGAAACCGCTAGTTGGTAACACCCCAAAAAACAAAAGATTTGTGGAGACAGAAAACACCAGGTGACTTCGGTTTCGGTCGAACCTACTTGCCTAATCAAGGAAGTCATCATTCCTAGAGATCCAACAGACGCCACGACATATCTTGGCGTGCCATTTACTTTCAGAGGTAAAGGAGTCTGCGGCTCAAACTGCATCAAAGAATGAAGACCACTACCTTATATCCACCTAGCCTGACACATTCGATTGCGTTTGGCTAAGTTCAACCCTCAGAAGGTTGGTCGTGTCTAGCTACGTCTGCTGAAGAACACCTCAGTGGGCTACATTTACGCCACTGAACGACATGGCGAACTTGGTTATCCCAAGCCTGGTTCCACTCACGACGATACACAACTGAAAGCATGGTTTTCGAATTTCCCGCAACTCTACTTACTACCGAATCATATAAGCTCATTTACTAAGCGGGTTTGTTTCAGCGCGAAACTCAGCCAAATCCATGCGAATGTCTTGCTTGCGATCAAGACTTTGAAACCCGTTCTCATCATGAGTGACACCCTATCGATTAAAGTAGTTTTTCACCCGTGTGGATGAGTATACGTTTTTGCCCCACAAATCAGCTGACAGGGTTAAAATAGATAACTGCGGCTGATATTTGGTTGATCATCTCGATGGCGCTATCGTTATTTCCAATCAATCGTCCAACCACACTGACGAACAAGGGCGGTCGGACGTTCGAGAACTAGTCTAGCGTGGTTACACTGTTTCGTCAAAGGCAATACTTCGATATCCTGCTGATATTTGGTTGATCATCTCGATGGCGCTATCGTTATTTCCAATCAATCGTCCAACCACACTGACGAACAAGGGCGGTCTGACGTTCGAGAACTAGTCTAGCGTGGTTACACTGTTTCGTCAAAGACAATACTTCGATATCCTGATTATGGTTCCAGTTGCGAAATGAAGCTGTCCTTGCACCAAGATCCATCTGCCTGTCTTTCGTAAACACCAGGTATTATTTGCAAGCGAGTGTGTCCAATTGAGGGTGCATTCCGTTGGCACTGCAGGCACCCTGAGCCGACTGTTCCCCATTCCCAGTTCTGATTGGCTCGGATTTCATCGAAAAAGTTGAATCGCGATGAAAAAGTGAACAAGTGACCATTATAGATTACTCAAAGTTGTCTCCCCACTCAGCAGTTTTTAGTTTACATCTGCTTGGTGGCTTTTCTGGGAGATAACACTTTTTTTAACCTCGGTGGACTTCAACTGTGGTTTTTGTCTACCATGTCCTACTGGATAAGCTTATTTTTTGGAATAGATGGTCTTAAGTGAAACCCATAATAGGGTATATTTTGAAATGAAGTCAACTTGGGTGACCTTCAAGAAGGTTTCACACGAAGGAGGAAGCGTTCAGCTGTAGCACCCTTTCGGTGCCTAACTGCCATGCCGCCCGAAGGAAGCACGAGGGATGGGATACTGCCAGGTTGCCCAAGCCTAGACAGGGGAAGTCGAGAGGCGGAGGTCGGATTCGAACCACGGACCTTCCGGTCAGTAAATTCGCGCTCTAATCACTCGGTCAATCTTGCCCCCAAGAAGGAGGAATGCCATAGACACTATCCGCTGTCCTTTCAGATTCTGTGCTAACTTATGTTTCCGTCTTGGTTGTTAGCGGTATCAAGTCACTCACTCGTGAAGCCCTAATCGAACTCAATCTGTTTCAGGTCTCCATCACGACGCACATGTCAGAACTGTATGATCTCTTTCACATCTCTCGACAATACAGCGGAACATTCAATAAGGAATACCACCCACGGTGAGTCAGACTTTCTCCAGTTTTCATCATCTGTGAAACGCGCGACAGTCTGAAAAAATCCATCTCCCATTTTTTTTTCTTGTGAAAGACTGTCGCTGATGTATGAGAACCCTTCCGGTGGCTAACCGACTTGCCACCGGAAGGAGCCGAGGGCTGCCAGGTTGCCCAAACCTAGACAGGGGAAGTCGAGAAGCAGAGGTCGGGTTCGAACCACGGACCTTCCGGTCAGCAAATTCGCGCTCTAACCACTGCGCGATCTCGATCCCCGGAACTTCAACCCTAGTTTTTCTCGAAAGTCAAATTGCACGAAGTTGGCGAAATACATTCCTCTCCAAGCTAATCAGGTGTTAGCAAGTGGTCAAGTGTCTGTCAAGAAGAGACTGGACCTTATCGCGATGTGGCGATTTGTACACCCTTATAGCCCGCTGAACCGGAGAGGTACGTGTGGCACTCACTCATGTTGATCATTGGTTGAAGGTGTGACTAACACAGCTTCTTGTTTATCCAGTTTGAGGCTGGAACATGTGTGGCACCTTAAAAATGTAGGCTACTATGACGGCTTTACGTCAACCATCGTTACCTTTTGGTTGGGCTTTAGAGCGTAAAACTTTGGTTGAGAACTCTGAACATCCTCCTGGCAGCATTCTAGCCCACTTGTAACCATGGATTGCACAGTGAAGTCCCAGTGCTTTAATAAATATTGCTGTCGGCAACGATGAAGATGATGATAACAGACCGTAAGCTGTCGAAGAGTTTTTAGCAACCTCATGAGTAGCTTGCCACCGATTTCGCCCACCCACTTGGCTGAAAGCTCTGAGGGATTTTTTTTCGAAATCAAGGGTGATTTCACTAGGAATAAATGAAACAAACTCCACCTAAGCAGGACTATGGTTCGCAGTTTGATGGAAGTAACCTATCGAGGTAGAACCCCATCGATCTTTATCTAACCTCGGTCGACTCATAACTTTCCAGGGTTCTGGAAATCGAAAATCAGACGACTAATTCGAGCTGGAAAAGCCAGTAACTGTTCCGCTGGTTCGTGTTACTATGTCATTTGTAAAACCAAATCTGGAATGCTCTTTTTGCCTGCTATCCTGAGTTATCCCGATCGATTCATTCTGCAGCTACAACAGTCATCAACACCATCGACCGCATAACAACAGCACTTGTGGTTCGCTGCCCTAAGGGATTGTCGTTGTACGCAACCTGGGCTACTGACAGGGCGCCCACACCTAGACGGAAGGAAGATTAGGGCTCTCGACCAAAGCTTTTGGCTAGAAAGTCTCACCGAGAGTTGGTGGTAGTTGGCGGGAAATGCAAGTGTATTACCGTTTTTATTGAACGAACCGGCACCCATGCTGCAACACCCCACCTGGAGGACCAGGAGACTGTGTTCGTCAGACCTCTAACCAGCGTGGTAGGAAATACTCTGCGTGTACTGCAAGGAGGCCCCTCGGTATAGCCCCATGGGTCACGAAAGGCACAGAAGCCGTTACACCGTTACAGTCGGTTCCAGTCCCTTTCTGGTTTATAAATTCATGTAGTTACAAAAATTGATCAGGAGCATTTGATGGAACCATCACATGACTTCCCAACTACCTGAGAGTACCTTTACAAATCTAAAGACAGGGTTAACAGTGGTGGTTAGAGTGGAGCTGAATGCGGCTCATCAGTTGCACACCATACTATATACCTTGAAGATGAAAAACCAATAGAATTTGAAGCAAAATCCAATTGTCCAATAGGCGTGCCTCGTTTCAGTGCGATACCGTTCGAGATTGGAATGTGTATATTGTGAGATCCTGATACGAACTAAGCTTTCGATCTCGTCAAGGCGGGGCTGGGCAGGAGCTCAAACACATGAAATCAGTAATGTGGTATATATTACATTCACAGTAACGTGCATGGGAAACTGCATTCACTTGAATTGTCTTCAAAAGATAGTTTCCCCATATTCATCATAGAGCGAGGTGAGATGGCTCAGTGGTTAGAGCACGAATTTACTGACCGGAAGGTTCGTGATTCGAACCCGCCCTCTGCCTCTCAACTTTCCCCATCTAGGTTTGGGCAGTGGGCCAGTATTTCCTTCTTTCGGGTGGCATGGCAGTTAGGCACCGGAAGGGTGCTACAGCTGAACGATTTTTTCTCTAATCTCTGGCGATATCCACTCACTTGCAAATAAAACTTGTTGCCAAGTCTCTCGATGATACTGAATTAAGTTGGGGATGAGTATAGTTCACGAACTGCACAAAATTTAGATCCAAGTAGAACCGCATCTACCTGATGAGCTCCAAGGAGGATGAAACCACTCGAGGACCTTCGAGCCACCTTGAACAATCTTATAAGTAGTATGTTCCGTCAAACCTCTCAGTTTTGCATGATGCTATATAACCTGATCTTGCAGATCTGAGAAGTAATGTGATTCTGTTCGCTGATTCCCAAGCAGTATGTAACCTGCACTTACTGACAAGGCTGTTTCTCAGTCTATATCGGAGCCATGGCTTAGTTTGAGTAGGCCTACTCTTTTCATGCACCTCGAGCGCGATCGGATTATTCGTACCCCTAGGGACCATATCCCCATCGACAGCATCCTGACAAAACCAAAAAACCATCTTGTGCCCAGGTTTTGAAGAGCACACCAAGTCAAAATCCTACCAGCTAACGCATACGATGCATCTGCTCCGTCACATTGACCGAATCAGATGGGAATTACACCTTGACTACTCATAAGTAGCCTAATTTCCGCAAAAATGTTCACAGACGCAAAAGGCATATAATCCATTTAGTGATTCACAGAAAAACGAGGATCGGAGAGGTGAGTGGCTTTTTCTCATTTTCAGTGACGCAGAATGTTGTCTGAGTGTCACAGCAAGGGCGAATGTCGTGGAGATATCAGCTCCGGTCGTAAAAAATTACAGAAGATAATCTTGAGACAGTCAAATAAGCAGCTCCAGGCGATCTTCGCTCCTTGTTTTGTCGACGTTAGTTTTGGTCAGAACAAATTTCAACACGTTGAGTCGACAAACTCATTCATATGCTACAGGTGGTGTATCCGTTCAGATGTAAACCAGTTTCGGTGTCTAGCTACCGTGCTACCCGAATGAACGAGAATGACCGTAAACGATGCATTGCAGGTAAATGTTAGGTTTATGGCCCATTTTAAAGATGAAACCTCATTAGGTACCTCCGACACCGTAGAAGGACAGTAACAAATAGTGGTTTTCGGTCGAACATTATACAGGATCACCGCGGTATTGAGGACACAGTCGTCCGTCACAGCAAGTTGAGTGATGCGCACGTGTTCATTTGGATTCAGTGAATTCTTGGAATGGGGTTAATCCCTTTTGAGTAATGGGCTTGTGTTATCAGTGCTCGCACCGTACTGCTTGCGTAATGGCATATACTACTGATGAGTCATGCCAGTAGTCTGTGGTCGTGTTGAGGGTCCGCCCCGTAACTAATGAAAGGTGAAGAGTATTATGGAACTTGTAGAACTGCTTTGAAGTGTGCACTTCCAACTGTGAATAGTCAGTGAATATCCATTAAAGTCCAAGAGGACGCGTGGGAGCGTTCAGTTTTTAAAAACCTCTGTACATATGATACGTTTACTTTACTGTTTAATAGTTTAGATGGTGTTTGCTGATGGGCGTCTCCACAGCGTAGGGTTTTTCTCCTTTCACTGGTAGCAGACAAGCTTTCCTGTGATACGATGAGTTGGATATGACAAAAAGTTTTTGGTCCGAGTCCCGGGTGAACTTGTCTTAGTAGCACTATTAACCGAGCGAGGGTCTCTTTTGAGCAAAGCCACTCCGGTGGGCCACTGTGGATACTACGCACACTATCCGACCTCACCTAAAGTCGATGAATGTACTTTACCCCTATCCTTCAAACCCAACTGCCAAAAACCTCACACTTGCTTCTTCTCTTTGTTATAGTCACGTGATTGTTTGTGGCAGTATCAATTACCAGTCGGTCTCGGTGTTCATGCACGCCTTTGTGAACGCGGATCGTGGTCGGTTTGACAAAAACATAATGATGCTGTTTATGTCCGAGTAAGTTATGCACTTTCCCCGATTGGTTATGCTCCTCAAACAGAACGAATCCGGATACTCGACTGAAGGCGCTACTCAAACGCGAAAGTGTGCACGCGACATTCCTCAGAGGAGATGCTACGTCGCCAAAAGACTTGAAAAGAGCAAAAGTGAGCCGCGTTTCTTAATTGAATTGGCCTGGCCTTAAAATTCAATGTACTTTTGCTTCAGTAAACTCTCTTTGGAATTTAGAACAAAGTGCTGTTAAACAGAACTACTTACAACTACTGATTTTTTGGTTGAAAGTAGGCAACGTCCCGATTTTTTCACCGAAATTTTTTAACCTACCAATTTTTTCGTCGAATTGCGGGACAATGTTTGATGTGAGAAGAAACGGAGGATGGGAAAAAACAAATGGATAACAAGACTTTAATGATCTATTCATACAATCGTTTGTTGGTTACACTTTTGCACTAATATCTGGCCCAAAGTGAAGGCCAAGAACTTGGTGAACAAGGCTGTATTCGAATGTTGAGGGCAGTGAGAAGGGCTTCTTACACTGTCATACCACCGTTGAATGTGGGTACCAGGATGACGTAGAAAGGCTATGCTGACGTAGAAAGTCTATGCTGAAAAGCCAAGAAGTGTAATGCAGTCATTTCGTCTTTGTTATGAACCTACAGCTGTGCGCATCTCATGGAACTCCTGGGAATTTCGATCCCGAGACCGCCCATCTGCTCAGTCACGGGCGGCTGCCCGATCAGCCCGTTCAGCTCTATTGGGAATCACCAACAGCGCGCATCTCACGAAACTTCGGAGAGCCTCGAACCCGCAGCCTCTCGGCGAGTAGTTAGAACGCTTAACCGTTCGGCCACGGGCGGCCAATCAGCGACGTGGTTAACTCGCACTTAGAACGGCCCGCTTTCTCGAGTGACGACTGCTCCGATGGAAGCATTACTTATAGGACGAAGTATCACTTGAACATTCCTACATTAGCAATGTTCCTTCTGGACTGAATTTTCAACCTAAAGTAAACACCTGTATTTGCACTGGACGCACAACCGTAGGGGTATGACGATCATGGATAAGAAATCACTTGCACAAGTTAACTGCTAGTTTAGGATGAACGGTTATCTTGTAAAATTTTGGCCAATATGTTCGGGTAATGACATAGAGAGCAAAAACTTTCTCATAGGTTCTTCTAGACCAGCTACTGGCGTGCATTACTTTATTACGAAAGTGAACTAATAAAGTAGAGCAGATATGTACTCGAAACGTCTTCAGCATGANACAAGACCTCGGACAGGACTTGGACCCGCAATCTCGACCTTAGCTGAATCAAGCTGAATCAAGTTGAATCAAGCCGTCACTCCTGACAACACCAGTGGTGGTGAGCTGAGTCTCTGAAACAGAGTAGCCTGACCCTGGTCAGCCACTGTCCTCTCGGCCAGTAAAAGACTATGTAATTGGCTGGTTGGTACAATCCTGGTCACGTGAAGTTCACCAACTCGTCGATGCTGATTCACACGCTTCAATGGTGTGTAGTCCAGCTGATCCCCTGGCACCGTCTGGCTATGCCATTTGTTGCCGGCGTTGCTGAGCTTGTGACCTCGGCACATGAATGTTTTCGGGCCATTTCAAATATATGGGAGAAAAGAAGAGAAAAAGAATGGGTGAAGGAGGGGACCTAGTGCTGGCCTATGTCAAGAATTCTTAGGTGCCTACACCTCCAATCGCTCAATCAGACAATCTGGGAAGAAACTGACAGCAAGAACGCCACTGACATCGATTAGCCGCCATTTCTTGCAACGTCTTCAGCCAAGCACAGACGGGGTCACGGGGACCCCATCCTGGAAGGCGTACAACACCAAAACACCTAAACTCTTCGTGATCTCTTTCACGCCTTTCTGCCAAGTCATGTGCTGTCCACCTCGCGGTTTGCATTATCCTGAAGGAGGCACGGAGAATAACACTCGTCTCGGTAGACGGTGTTTCGGCATGCGTAGCACATGACCGAGTCATCGTAGTTGATGATGCTGGATGTTTTCTCGGATTGAGTTGCCTGCAGCACAACCAAATACCCGTTTTCTAATCGCTTCGTTACTGACATGCGGACGCCATCCGAAACCAGCCACGCTTCTGAGGCATCAATGGTCGAAAACCTGAAGATGCCTCACATCATCTGTCTGCAGAGGCCACGTCTCGCACCCGTACAACAGCACAGCCCTTACTGTAGCCTGGTACACAAGACCCTTAAGGTTCAGTGAGATGCATCCAACTACAAAATATACCAATTTTTTCAAATTTTACTGTAATGCACTCCCATGCTGATCGAAATTTCTGAAATCAAACTGGATTTTGAGTACCGTTGAATCGTCCATTTCCTCTAGCTTTTTCTCACTGTGGAAACAAAAGGTAACCTAGACCTAACACACTACTCACGAGGTTGCTGAAAACTGTTTGACCACCCACTTCCAGTTTCACTCACCAGATTGGACGGAATTCGTCAAATACTGTCTTTTGCAAGTTATTTTTTCGCGCAACTCAAACGAGTCCCAGACGAAGCGCAGCGACTGAAAAATGAGACGCTTTTGTGCCAGAACATTCCGCCGAAGAATTTCCCAAAGAAGACATTCAGCTGGGATTCGATCGAGTCTCTCAAACCAAATTTCTACGCGTGTTTTGCAAATGCTGTGGGATGTTCACGCCTATCACGATACAACTCGTGTGGTTCCCCCTCCACAGTGGCTGTCATTTCCCGGACAAACTTTGTAGTGGTTGTGCCTTGAACAAAGTTCACACTAGATGTTGAATTGACCAAGCTGATGAAGCCTCACCACGACAACATGATCAAATGTTCTGTTCAAACATGTGTGTGTATCTTGTTGTTTTCCCTCCTATCTACCCATTTTGTGTTTGCCTCCCTCGAACGACCGGCCACTCGTGGGCCGTCTCCGACGAACACCAATGACGAGAGAGTAAGTTGGATTCGACTGAGTCTTCCGTGAAAACCAAATTAGTTGGTAAATAAGAATACTTGGGGAATTCGGTCTGATTTCGGGACAAGTTGAAAATAAGGGGAGACGAAAACCCGGGGACTGTCCTAGCGGATGAACCCCAAGAAAAGCAGAAATGGTCGCGGGCTATCGAACAGCTTTCACTAACCTTGCGGTTCGTTTCCTTCAAGATAAGATGAGTGTCCTTTGGTGCACATTCTGATTCTACCTGCTTTTCATTCTGCAACCAGACTAAACCTTACTGTGTTACGCGCACAAGGGGTCGTTGTAACACTGAAGGAGAAAGAGCCAACTAGCTCTTCAAGGTGGTCCTTACGCGGGCGTAGCTTTGTAAAGGAGGGTTCTCTAACCACACAGCTTGTGATCCGTTTGAAGAGAGCTTCAACATGGGTGAGTCATGCCTCGTTTTAAACGCTAGAAGAAGCTACATCAACAGAATGTCTCTGGTAGAACAAAATCATCGATGTCTATGACCTAACTAGGTGGTTGATTTCCCGACCGAATATTCAACGCAGTATGTTCCACAAGGAATTGCTGCATGCAGTCATGCGTAGCTATCTTTCACGGTCGTCTCATAAGGTTGACGAATAAGACGGCGCCATCCAGAGACGGTCCGCTTTTCATATCACCTCATTTGTTTCTGTTCTTTGGCAAGATTGCTCCCATCGTTATCAAAATCACCGACACATATCTAACACTTTTAAAAACTTAGATGTTAACTTTGTCAGGATCAGTTTTTGGGTGGGAAACTCTGGAATCTCTTCTTTACGTGTACCGCTTTTTATTCCAGGCTCGTTTTGCTGAAGCGGTGATCGTCCTTTCGGACGGACAGAGCTCGGATCCAGCAAAGGATGACTGGGAGAACATTATGCGTGTGGTCTCGGTGAAGAACCTGCATTCGAAATGTCGCATTCTGTGTGTTTTAACAATGATGGACAACAAAGTGAGTTTATGAACGACCTACGTACACTTTTCTAACCTGCTGCGTGTGTGTTGTCAATGTCGCATTCTGTGTGTTTTAACAATGATGGACAACAAAGTGAGTTTATGAACGACCTACGTACACTTTTCTAACCTGCTGCGTGTGTGCTGTCCAGTTTGGGTCCAAGTAGAACATAAATTTGATGGAAACTCCGGGACTGCGTCTACCCGATGGAGTCCAAGAAGGGTGAAACCGGTCGTGGGCTGTCGAAAAGTATTCAGCAACCTTGTGGGTAGTTTCCTTCATGAAAATATACTGTGATATCTCGAATATCGTGTTAACTGAAGCATCAGACGGCCTGTGTGCAGCGTATTCAATTGAGTCTTCCGTGTAGTTCTCGAAATTAGTAAACTTCGTTCAGTTTTTTTTCACACTAGGAAATGCTTGAGTCCATTCTAGGAAACACATTACCTGACACCATTCCAGCCTACCGGTGGTAGTCATGAAAACGGAGAAGGTAGCAAACAAAGCTCGTTTTCTGTGATTGCTCCTCATGGCTAATACATCACAAATGCTACGGTAGCAGAAATCACGTGGAATAGGTTAAGACCGGGGCTACATACACTTTAGAGAAATAGAAATCAAAACA